ATTCACAGATTATTCTATTACAACAATTTCAAAGACCTACTTGTATGCATTAAATATAATTGAATTTTGACTGCACTAAGTATATAATAGTTATATAATGTTTTAAAATTGAATACCTTGACATGTTTTATAGCATCTGGAACAATTTCCCCAACTAGAATGAAATTTTTTAATTGAAAATGTGAAAAAAATTCTCACATTATCTAAGAAGAAATTACAAAGCTTTGTATATATAATTTTTATCAGCAAGCAAAAAACACACATATAATAAACTCTGAAATATGACCAGACACATTATCTTTATAAAACTCCTCAATTAATGCTACTCTTGGAATTGTGTGAGGTCTTGTAGATTAAACCTCTTATTAAAAAGTCAGGAGCACATTCTACATTCTGCCTTTTGTTCTGCCAGCTTACCTTGTGGATCAAAACAACGATCATTTGTATGGATGACTAAAGTTTCTATAGAAACAAAGTCAGGTCCATCCCTGAACGTTGCAGGCTCCATTTGGCAATGCATGCAGAAGTTAACACAGCTGCATGTCGCAACCCCTACCAGCAGCGTCAGACCTGCAATCCCCATGACTAACTACTGCTCTTCATTAACAGAGAAACTGTTAATTATACCAGTCCCTGAGGTCGCAGTCAACGTCAGTTAAGAGTAGTTACTACTAATTGCAAGCTTGATTTGTTGACTCTGGGTGTTTAAGCAACACATCCAGAATAGATGTTTTCATCTTCCATGTATAAATTCCAGAACTGTTCTCTTCTGGATATAAACATTTTGTTGAGTTTAAAAGAATTTAGGCACTAATTTATATAGCTGAGTGTTTGGAAAAGGACTATTTTGCTAAGTCCATGAGGAAGTCTGTGGTTAAACTATGTACCCTGGACAGTTGTTTTTAGGTACATTGCCAAAAAATAATAATTAAAAAAATACAGAAATCCAGGTAGTGTTATATTATTGTTATATTGGCTTCTATACCTTGATAACTGAGCCTCTTTTAACTGCAAAGAATCATGTAAACTGCCACATTTATGTGTGCATCCAAGGGAATGTTCATAATGGAGTGGATTAGAAGGAAGTTAATCTTCTGGCCATTTCCCTCTATTCCCCTGGAGCAAGCAGTGCCTGGTGTTTGGGTGAGAAATGGCACTTATCCCAAGCAGGCTGTCATTTTCTGGTCAGAGGAAAAACAGCAGAGTGCCTGCACACAGATACCTTGGATGAAGATCTGACATGGCGGGGAGGGAAAAGTAAGATTAGGAAAGTTTCTCTTCTGACCCAAGGAATGGTTTGTAGCCGTGGCCTTAAGTATGCATTAAAGGTACCTCACTAAATATCCAAACCTGACCAACACAAACACTTCTATGAAGTTATTTATACGTTATGTATTTATTTCACATTCTGCTGCAGCTCAGCGCAAAGTTCTCGCAGCCTCTGACGAAGAACAAAAAATACACAGGTGCAAGAGGAGAGGAATTTTTATGTTATATACATTTTTATTATTTATATACATGAATCATTCTGCATACACAGTAAGACTTATATTCTACTCATATTTTAATTACCAATTTCTACTTTATTTTGTACTTTGTTTAAGAAGACTAATGACTATGTTCCCTTGTCTATTTGCTGCTCTGGGTGAGTGAGTGGAGTGAATATCTATCGATCTTTCTATCTAGGAATGCGTGACGTAGCAGATCTCTGTGAGCGGCAGGAATGGCGTGGAAATGAAATATCCTACCATCCTCCTGCATCTTGTTTGGCAGCTAATGCAGCTTTGAGAACTGGAACTGGCAGTGGTGGCTCTCTCTCCCTGTAGAGACTAACCACTGTTTTTTTGTACAAGTATTTGCCTGCCATTGTAGGCACCGTGTGCCAAGATCTGCTTATAATCATTTACAATGCTGAAAATGAGCAATAAGAAAAAACAAACAAATCATGAATTAAGAAACGTTAGTGATCGCACAAATTTTGTAGTTAATTCTTAAATGAACAGCCTTTTAACTTTTGAATATCTTTAAGTGTATTTTCTGTTTATTGAGGTGTTAGGTGGTACCTGACTGTTTAACCTCAACGGATTAGAAAGATTTTAAGAAAGGAAGAAGAGCAGAACATGCCAGATTAAAGCGAGAGTCTGTTTTACTACCCAATAAGAGATTCTATGAGAATGCGGCAGCGAGAAGGGAAAGTGGCAGCCACATTTTCATGGGGAGTCAGTTTGAACATTGTGGCTTGGCCTTGTACACCGAATAAGACAAAGAAAAAGATGAAGAAAGGAATGGCCACCTGGCATCTGCTGAATGCTGCAAATGCGTCCCAACTTGTAGAGCCAGTCTTCAGCGATGCAGGAACACAGATTCTTTCAGTCTGTTTTTTTTTTTTTGCTATACTGTCAGGGAGGGGCGGCATTAAAGTGTAGAGACGACCTTTGTGCATCTACAGCTGCTCCCAAAGTCAAATTTGATGGGGAGAGGAAGAGACAGGAGAGGAATAACTGTGCTGTATAATGCGGCAGACGGGCCCGCTAACACAATCACACGCATGTGTGGACCGTTTAACAATGGATGGCTGCAGCTACTGCACCCAATATCAGTAAATGATACCTGGCTTTTGTCATTCTACAAGCCATTGAATTTAATGCTCTGGAAAAGGTTTGGCTCCTCAAAGTCGCAGCTGGACCTTAGATCCAATGATAAACTATTTGCAAAATCCCTACAACAAGACTAGAGCTGGTGGATCAGTAGGTACACAGACTTTAAAGCAATTAAGTGCTCATTCTGATTGTTAGTTGAAATTGTTAGTTATTTGTAGAAAGATGGAACACCAGAATATGCATCAAATACACACTGAGAATTTTTAACTGCATGATACTGAAATATCATGTTTAAAGTTCTATATAAATTTACTCCAAACTTTTACCCTGAGTTCTCTACTGCACCTTTTCATGGATGACTTAATTCTCTTTCTAATCGTTTCTTCTACTTTAACTACACATAAAACATTTATAGACATGAAAAAGCTTGATAAGGACATTAGGAGTATTTTATAAAATCCAGATGTAGAATAAAAGGGAAAATATACAAATTCAGGGCAAATTTTTGTTATCCAGCAGCATACTAAAATAAAGTCAGATCAATAGTTTATAGTACTTTGTGCATAGAGTCTAGTGATTTGCACCTGAATATGAATATCTACATTATACAGTGTGGCAATTAAGGTTTTATTTCTTTTTCTCAGTACTTAATCCATAAATCTGTAACTGACAGCTCCTTATTTTGGAACATTATTAAAATTAACATTAAACAAAATGAACTTTTTATAATATGGCCACTTACAGTCATATGACAATCACTGATGTTTCTCTTTTCCATTTTCAATATAAATGTTATATAAATGAGAGATATGGACACGAGATTAAAAAAATCAGTTTTAAGCGTGTTTCTGTTAGTGCTCCATAGACCGATCTCTGATATAAGCTTGGGTGAAATTAGGCCTACAATCACCTCTGCAACAAAATTAGATGAGTGGTTGAGGGTGCTATCATGATAAAACTGTACAATGCACCTCCCTGGCCCCCAAAGCAATTTTTTTTTACTAAGAATTAAATATACCAGAATAGCAGTACTTTTAAAATACCATCAAAATACTGTTTACTGCGATCTATGGCTGTTGTGAAAATTAGACCTATATAACACCCAAGACTAACTGTGATACCTCAAAAAGATTATCAATAAAGGTTAGAAACAGCAGTAGCAGTGCCGCAAAGTGTAACGTGATGTAGTTTTTCATAAGCAGTGTTCAGTAACAAAGATTCCTGTAATGCCTTGAAAGTAAAACAGCTTCTGCCAAGACTTTTAAAGCACAGGTCTATTTCAATGGCACCCTGTAGTGTACAGGGTGTGGAAACCACCATTTTCCCCCTGCTGACAACTTCAAAAGAAGCAGCCGTTTCCTTAACTTCTCAGTCGGGGAGGGGGGCGGGGGGGTTCACTTTCATTCATCATAGTCAATCAACTGCTCCCAAAAGGGGGGTCTGGCTTCAGTATCACTTCCGGCAGGGTGCATCGCATCCGTGATGGGACAGAAATACAAGGCACCTATGATTCAATTTAGCCTATACATTCACTTATTATGTCAATTATATACTATACTCCCAAAAGTACATTTGGAACTGTGGGGATGTACAGTCCATGTAATACCAGGGAGGCGGTGGACTCAAACTCACATCTGGATCTGAAATACTACTAAAAAGCAACTCTTCCTGCGTGGCAGTACAATTACACACCAATGCACCCTATTCGCTGTATTAATCCTTGTTGCGCCATCAAAAACGGGTGGGGGGGTTAGCAATCTTGGAAGTTCGAGCATTAGAAATTGCCCCGCCTTCAATACTTGACTCGAGATTAATCCCGTTCATTTACGTATTAATATTTAAGATGTTAGTGGCTTGAGTTTGAAATCCCTAGTAAATAATGAACACCTAATTGATCTCTATTAGGCTAACTGAAATCTACTAAAGAAGCAAAAACTGGGAAATATGACAACTGTGTTTTTATGTTTTTCTAAACCTAAACTCATCATCGGGTTTGCCAAATCAAATGTATTACCAACGCAATAAAATGAAGCACATAACAATTAATTAGAAATGTAACGTGTATTATAAAACATGGATCATACACTGCAGTGTAACTGCTCTAAGTTTGTTGAGTAAATGAAGTTGTTTTTAGAAAGGGAAAGACGCCGCGTCTCTTACGTACCCAAGTTTTCGAAAACTTTTTCCACGCAATGGTTCGTTCTGAATTTCACAATCTCCCTACAAAACTGTGCCGCTGGAAACTGTGATAGTGTGTTTTAGAAATGCCGGGATCTAACAACTCATCAGTGGATAAAATCTCCGAAGTGCTCTTTAAGTTCGGTACCCGGGGGGTAATGGCTTGCAAACACGGCTTCATGATGCCCTCCCTTATCGCAGCTCCTTTCCCTGCTTTCTTACCTTGTATTGGTGCTGTTCCAGTAGACAACGTGTCTCCTCGATAATGCCGAGGACACGGTTTGGAGCAGCAAGACCGCGATCCTCAGGGTGGCGGGCGATCTGCGCCAGGGCGGCCGACCCATAGTGCTGGGACAGGCGACGTCTGCGGGACTTCAGCGGGTTTGCGCGTGAAAAAGCTGAAAAGGACGAATACTTCCGTCTTTCACTAGCTCAAAGGTTATTCAGCGCTGTCAAGTTGCCCGCATTGTACGTGTTAGTTAACCATGCATGCACCGTTCGTAACTTTGAAGTAAAATAATCATTGCGAGGCTGAAGAATTATACATAAACTGAGGCAATCTACTTGAATGTTATGATACTTTTTTCTGACTGGTCCCCTCAAAAAAACTGGCAAAAGTGCCTTCACCCTAGGGGAGAGGGGCGGGGTAGGCAGTGCTGGTTTAAAGAGTCAGACCTGTGAGTTGCCGTCACGTTTGTAAAATATACCAAAGTAAACTTGGACTATGTATAAAAAAACTACCGTTTTTTCTTTTTTTAAATTTTATTTATATCCCTTTTTTTCGTTACAGTAACTGCTTGATTCACTTGTTTTGACTTCTAGTCTGGTTAAGTTTTTTTTTCTTTTTTGGGAAAATTATAGTCTTTTAGACTGGTACTGCCATAGATAATTTCAGCATTATTCTGCCGGCAAATTAAATAGTCGGGCATCTGACGAGTGTCCAGTTGTTTTCCACACCAACATGCGTTGTAAAAAGTATAATCAAAACAACCTTTAATGACTTTATTAGGAAGTCGAGGTAAAGGCACTCGGATAGCTGGTGGGAGCAGACGGACGCGAAACGATCAAGATTCACAACGATCACTGCAAAACCTACACCAGTCGTAAAGTGAAAACGGAGGCATCTGTTGCAGGTTTAATATGTAGCCGTTCCCTTTAGGCTTACGCATATTCTGAGCTTTTGAAATGACATAATGAAACACATTTCCGAAGGAATTTACGTTAAATACATTTATAAATACAGCCCTGGTCACGAAAGCCTCAGTTCATACACCACTGCGCTAATTAGTAAGTACATCTCTGTGTTAGTCGTCTGCCCAGAAAGTAACGTAATGGGAATTATAGCAGGCGTGTATAGATGTTAAATATAACGTCTAAAATGTGACTCCCAGCTTCAATCCCTCAATTTTCACTAAGCGCTTATCCAGTCATGGTCATGAATCTATCCTATCCTGAGGATCATAAGACGATCACCTACGACTGCACGACAGCAAATTTAAAGGGGGAAATGTCATTAACATGGCAGCAGCATTCCAACTCCTTGCAGGCAGAGATGTGATCAGAGCCGGCAGTGTCTACAGAGGCGAGGTGGCTCTTCTTTGGACTTCTGCATCATGGATCAGCAGGATAATTAACTGCGACTGAGCTGCAGAACAGCCAGGCTGTGTGAAGCAGAAAGGGCATTGGCGTGACTTTGCCCACCTGGATGTCGCTACCTGGGCCGTCACAGCCCGAAGAGCAGCAAGCCAATTTGTCAGTGAGTAATCAGACTAAGCATTCAATTAAGTAATCTGGACAAGTCTAAATTAATCCCCGGTGTCACCAAAAGGTCATGTTTTACCTCCTTTCGGTAATTTTGTGCCTCTCTCAGGTCTAGCTTAGGTCACAGTTCTCGTTTATCAGGACCTGCCACCAGACGCCCCCACCCCGAGTCCCCGCAGTCACATATTTCACGTGTGCTGCCTGTCCGGGATGGTATTATTAATACACAGCATTTAGCTTCTCTGAGCCTTGGCCATTAGCCCCTCGGTGAGGCGCTGCATGCCCCCACGGCGTCTGTCTGGCACACTGCCAGCACTGCCTCCATCTTTCTCCTTCCGCTCCATCGAGCTGGGAAGGATCTTGCTGGGGGAGGGGGCGCAGGAGCAGAGAGTGGTACAGGATGCGCTGGGAGGGGGATTTGTTGACGCTGCCTGTGCCAGACACCGAGGACAGAAGGTGTAGCTGCTCCACACGGACTGGAATCCCCGGCTGGAATAGGGGGCAGACCACGCCCATTCTGCTATTAACCAATCATTGTTCAGGACAGTGTCCTCTTTGTCCTGAGCAACCTACATAACTGTTACTACTTGTGTTTACCTCTATAAATTCCCTAAAGCCATTTTAGTTTAATTACTTTTTTCATTGTAACACCAGTAATGTTCCCATTGGGATCTGTACACGTGGTTTACCAATATTAAACCTACGGACCAAGGTCACCAAGAGAATCTCTGAAATGTACCATTAATGCAAACAAACCTATTTCAGCGCTAGTAGTTAACAAAAAAATCAGAGCTGTTTTTGATGGCTATTTAATGATCAGTTATATAATAATATTAATGGTAATTAACTGGAGCCACGTGAGTAATAAGACTAATGAATAACATGCAAAAAACCATTTTCGTGACGATTAAAAATGCCCGATCTGTTCCTATCAGCTTCTAGCCACTGCTGACTCCCATCTTCATTTGCTGAAACTTTAATGAACCTGTCCAGTCTCCGATTGCAGTGTCAGTAGATATAATGACTAAAATTTTGAGATTCCGGTCATCCGTAATAAGTCTATTTATTTGAGTTCCCTTTGAAGCGGAGCATTACAAAGAGGAGGTGATTACTGTCTGGGTAAACGAGAGGGGAATTAGCCAACCTTGGTGTGAGAGCGGACTGGGCTCATGGCTTTGCACAAACCACTGGACAGTGACGTGTAGAGGGGGAGGGATCATTGTAATTAAGGGAGAATTGCTGACAGGAGACACATAAGGAAAACTAAAATCTGGGATTTATACTGAGAAATCCTTTAAGCCTTCTGTCCCCTCTGGGCAATTTGTGTCTTCTCTGTGTTTTTAGTGGGTGGAGCTTTGAACTAAAGCATGATATTAACCGATTCACTGTCTACACCTGCACAGACCTGAATGAAAGGATGCTGTTTGATTTCTTGGATCGAAAATTAAGAATTCATTCAGCCTTAATTTTCTCTGATCATGTGCAATGTCAATTACATTGTTAGTTCACCAGTTCCTCTACAAAATATCCCCATATACAATTGTGTGTAATTACAGGTGGACATTAATGGATGTTTTAGGTTTTGTGGCACCTTCTCCTTAAGATTTGTATTGTAACTTTCTATATGTAAAAATACTTTAGCAAAAAAAGGACAGTCCATAAATAATTCCCTTTCAACAGTACTGTATGCAATATTACAAAAAAACTGAAATATTCCACAGGGCCCTGTCAGCATTAATTACAACCTGCTTGTTATCTAACTTCATATGCCTTGCATAAAATAAATACCAATATCTGCCATAACTGCCTCTGAATTTAGTACTGCTAATGACATGGATTACAGCTAAGTGGATGTGACGAGTAGAAAGTGTCCTAACGGCACAGAGCAGCTATGACAGGAACTGCACCCAAAAACTGGATGGAGGACAAGGATGGTGTAATGTGGGGCTCAGTAGCACAGGGAGTGGAGCACAGAGGCATGAGCTTTTGGTCAGAAATTAGCAGATCATCTTGCACGTAAAGCTGACATCATGGGCAGGCCAAAGCATGTCTGGTCACATGACCTGTAGCTTTGGTAAGACAGGGTATTTCTCTGCTTCTGTGAGTACTGTAGACATCTTTTTCAGTAGCAATATGACACATAAAGAGTGCACATAATTTTTTGTAGTTATATGTTTTATTTAAAATTCAAATGCTCAAGCTAAAGACTTGTAAGGGTATCCTGACAGTAACGCCATCTATCATCTAATTACTCAGGGTCAGTTGGAGCTGTTCCTACCATCACTGAGCACAATGCTGGGATTCCAGTTAATCCCAAAGCATACTCATGTTCAATAGGCAATGTAGAGCAGTGTTTCTTAAACCAGTCCTTAGGGACCCCTAGATAGTCCACAAATTTGGTTCCTCCCAACTCTCAGAGAATTGGGAGAAAATAATAATGTGGACCATCATGAGGACTGGTTTGAGAAACGCTGCTTTAGAAGCACCAATGAGTCGAACTTGTGGTCTTTTGGCTATAGGGGGAAGCTCACATGATCCAAATCAAACATGATGATGCCACGCACCCAGGGCAAAGACTGGAGTTGAACCTCCAGCCCTGGAGATGTGAGCTAACAGTGCTGTCCACTGAGCCACAGTGCTACCCATTTTCTGTAACTCACTCAAGCTGATCTCCATTATTTATGGGAGCATGATGAAACTTAACAAAACTTAACAAAACCCAAACATTCCAAAACTGCTCAGCAACAAGTGAGGTGTATTTAAGGACTTGTAGGTGTGGCCAGAAAATGCCAGCAGAAAACTGCTCTGCTCTGTGTTTCATTCAGGATCTTCAGGAAACAGTGCAGTTCCTGTGAATTTTAGAAGGATCTGTAGTCACAGGTGACTTTGTTGATGAATTCACCAAAAAAAAGGGGTTTCAGAAAGAAATGCCACACCTTTTGGTCACAGTATCTCCTCACAGCAGACGTCATCAGGGTTGTTGTTACCGCCAGCTGTGTAACTCTACCAGGAGGCTGGGCTGTGTATCTCACTGGCAAGTAGAAGACATGCAACTCATGCACACCTTGCATTGCTGCAATGCTTGCCCAACGTTGCAACTCCTGTGCACCTCCCATTGCTGTAATGCCTGTCTAACATTTCAGCTCTTGCACACATGTTGCATCACTGCAATGCCTAATAGGGGTGTAACGGTACACAAAAATCACGGTTCGGTACGTACCTCGGATTTGAAGTTACGATTCGGTACGTTTTTGCTTCTTTTTTTCTTTATTAAACAGTGATTTACTGAACAAAGCATGACTGTCTTTCTTAAATAAAAAGTCTCTGTCAATACTACTGCAACCAACTAATAAAAAACAAAAATTTACTTTAAAGTAAAACAAATGTTCTCACAAGTAAATAAAAATAAAATAAATATCCATTAAGGTGCACAAGAAAATGAACTGTACCTGATCAGTACTTTATTCACATTAGCAGCTTTCAGCTTCATATTAGAACTGTGCAACACAGATATTGCCTCAAAAATATGAAGCATAACAAAATAAATATCCATTATGGTGCAGCATTTAAAAAATACCTGTGCTGTACTTGTATTCACATTAACAACTTCCAGCTTCACATTAAGAGGTACACACATGTGTAGTGGCGCAGCTTCATCCGCCCCTTTCCAAATGTTGCTTGGAGGAAACACACAAAGGTTCTGCATCTGCTGCATTTGTTCGGTGCATATGTGTACCAATCCGTAAGACCTGTACCGAAAATTTTCAGTACGAATGCGTTACCGTCACACTCCTACTGCCTAACATTGGAGGTAAGGTGCACGCATTTCATCACTGCAATGCCTGCCTAACGTTAGAGCTCACGCACACATCTCACATTGCTGCAGTGTTTACCTAACATTGCAGCTCATGCACACATGCTGCGTCACTGCAATGCCTGCCTAACGCTGAAGGTCATGCACTCCTCACATTGTTGCAATGCCTGCCTAATGTTGCAGTGTATTGCTGGTTTACAGCCTTGGTTTACATCCACAATGCACATCTACAGTATGTTGTACTTGCTCATT